AATGAAGTCTGTCACACGTAGAATTAGATATCCTTTTCGGCTTCACGTCCTACATAAATTCAATGTGCTTGCCTAAGCCAAGTGTTCTTATCCAAGTCCCAGTTGACGCTGCAATTCATTATCAATGGCCCTTTGAATAGACTTAGAAACTTTCATGGTTCCTTTCACGCTTCATTCCTTCACATGCAGGACTTTTACAGCAGTTATTTTATTGCATTGCTTTATATTTAAAGCATATAAATGCCTTACATTTCCTTGAAGGCAGCGTCCTTGCTTTTTTAAAGTATGTATCATCAGTTCCTAGCACCTGTCTGCATTTAATGAGTATCCCACAAATACATGACTCCAATCAATAGTACTATCATTTGGCTTAAATTTCCAACATGATATTCAAAAGAATACCATGAAATTCTGAAAAATGCTTTGTTGAAATTAAAATTCACTGTATCAGCAGTGTTTTCCTAACAGTCTTAAAATGAGGATTGCCTTTCTGATAGGAATGTGGAAATCTTTCAATTCAATTCACCTTTACTTGGTTTTCTCTCAGGGTAAGAATTTGAGTGCTACAGACTTGAAGGTCCTAGCATGAAAGAATAGGAACAACATTTAATAGTGCTTAATTAGATAAAAAAAATAACTCAAAAGAAGAAATCTGAATCCCCAAGGGCAAATTACAGAAATTCGATTCTCTTCCAGAACTGTTTGTACTCTGGTTTCAAACCACCTGAATAGCAGCATAGAAGGAAAAGAACAGGGGTTTGAAAATGGGGTGTAGATCTTGTTTTTTCAGTTACTAGTCAGATAAATCCCTGAACTTCTTTGAAGTAGAATGGAAACTCCATGAAGACAGGGACAGTTGTTTAACTGTAACTCCAGTACCTGGTATAAATATAATTTGTGTTCATTCCTTGCTAAATTAATAAAAATTCAATTCTTTCCTTAGATAATTAGGGGGTAAGAGCTACACTGCCAATCTCACAGGACTGAGGATCAACAGGGACAAGCATATGACCACAAATCTTAAAAGAGAAATATCGATATTTTTTGCTAGTTCTTTTTTTCTCATTTTTGTCATTTTCCCCTCTTTCCTCCCATTTTCTCTGACAACCATCACCTCTGCCTTTCTTTTTTCCTGATTTTTTCTCCCTTCTTGACTTTCTCCCTCAACATTTCTTAGCTGACATAAATGAGAGATGAAGGATATTTTTTCAGTACTTTTGAATACAATTCTATGCTCACGACTATTAATTTAAAAAGTAATGAGGTAAAATATCAACTTCACCTCCAGGGGACTGCTTTATCCTTTAGTAGCCAGCATTAGAAAAATGTTTTCCCTTCAGTTTTTTTCAAGATTGTTGTATAATTTCTCTTAATCATGTGACTTTTTATGATTCTAACCTGGTAGTCCAGCTAAAATCTGGCTGAGGGTCATATTTAGTCTAAAAGCTATAAACTCCTACCCCAACCTTAAGAGACATGTGGGATAATGTAACAGCTCTTGTATTCTACTCAGACACCAATAAAATGAAGTTTTTAATTTGTACTTCCTCCTTAGGGTAAATATGCACACAGTCTGTGTATAACCTAATACATTTATTGCACTGTAAAGTGTTAAACTGCATCTACAATGTCAAAATACTGTAAGATACTGAACTGCCTCCTGAGTAAAAGAGGAAATAATATTTACAATGTTTATAATTATCACTTTTGACGATAAAGTTATTTTAAATCTTTGAAAATTGGTCACTGCCAAATTACCCCACTGATTAACCTTAATTTGAGAAATATTCTTCCATGAATAATATTCTGATAACCAAAGATTAACCAGAGATTCTTGAGGTGACCTCTCATTGCTCAAAGTCTCTCTTACATATAGAATTAGCTTTCTGGTGAGAAAACAGTATGCTCACCACAAAGCAATCTTACTTTGGTGATTAAATATGGGGCTGTGCCTGAGTGTCACCAACGACCAAATCGAACGACGGCTAAAACATACATATGTATTAAACGTGTCAGATGCCTTCTTGGAACTGTACATGTACCTCACAACATTCTCACAAAACCCTGTTAAGTATGGTTGATCCTTGAACAACATGGGTTTGAACTGTGTGGATTCACTTATACATAGATTTTTCTCAATATATACATACTACAGGACTAAGGACCATATGATCTGCTGTTGGTTAAATTCACAGATGAGGAACTGCAGAATTACAGTTACACCTGAATTGGAATTTTTTTTTAATTGAAGTATAGCTGATTTACAATGTCGTGTTAGTTCCTGGCATACAGTATAGTGATTCAGTTATACATATATATAATCCTTTTCATATTCTTTTTCACTATAAGTTATTATAAGATATTGAATATAGTTCTCTGTGCTATATAGTAGGACCTTGTTACCTATTTTTCATATAGTATTTTATATCTGTTAATCCCAAACTCCTGTTATCCTTCCCTCTGCCTTTTCTGCTTTGATAACTATAAGTTTGTCTTCTATGTCTGTGAGTCTGTCTCTGTTTTGTAAGTAAGTTCATTTGTATCATTTTTTAGATTCCATGTACAAGTGATACATGATATTTCTCTTTCTCTGACTTATTTCACTTAGTATGATAATCTCTAGATCCACTCATGTTGCTGCAAATGGCATTTGTTCATCCTTTTTTATGATTGAGTAGTGTTTCACTGTATATATATATATA